TTGCAGTTTTTGTTTGTTCATTTTTATTTTTGTTACTTAGGTATCAACTCAGTTCCTAACCTATATGGTTTATTCATATATATTTTCCTAAAATTCTTAAATTAGTTCAAAATTAAATATATATTCATCCAATATTAAACGAAATGTTGATATTTAACTATGTTTTTTCACTATGCTGGGAACAAGAAATACAAAGGTGGGTCACTTTGCCCTGGGCTTCTTAGAGTTTAAGATTTAACTAATGAGACTATTTATATGTCACTGAATAATTAAAACATTCATTTAGGTAGCAAAATAATGTGGGTTTAGCTGTCCCACAGATACGTTCACATTTATGTATTATTGTTTACAGAGATGAAAAGATAAAAGTACTGTTCTCAAGGATCTATGAATTATTATGTGGAATCACTGTGGAATCAATATATTTATTCAGTATATTGATCATGAACATATATTGGCCCTAACTTGGTGTGAGTACTATAAATGAAATAAGATCTGCCCCCTGGCCTGAAGGACAGTGTTGTAAAATTGAAGAGATATACTTGACAGTTAAATACTAGCAATATAGCAAAGATGAAATGAAAGTAAATAATTTAAAAATGTACAAACAAATAAGAATCTTGAGTTACACAAGGGAAATGAAAATGAGTCTCACATTTATAAGGATTCATCATCATGAATATATGTAAATAATAAGAATTAAAATGAATGACTCCTCCAGAAACCTGTTTTTAAGTTACTTAGAATTGGTTATTCTGCACTTAAAGATTAAAACTTACTCTGCATATAAATAAAAAAAAATCCAGTGAACAATGGTTTAGATTAACATAGAGCTTTTAGATGGTATGACTTGGCTTTTTCATTAAAAGTTTTATTGTATTCTTTAAGAAGTAGTTTATTTAATGATGTTGGCCACTTTAAAAAATATAACACAAAAACTATAACAACAGAAAAATCTCAATTTTAATGGATTATATGTGGTTTTATCTACTGATTATTTTACCTTTAGATGACGGTAAAATTGTAAAACCTGTATAGGTTACATTATATGCAATTTAAGGATTAAAAATGTTTCTGTAGTTTCTTGCCATGTCCTGCTATTCTTGTTTTATTATAATTCTTTCTTCCCCAACTCTATTAAATATTTATTTTTAGCAATGTTTCATAACTTTGAAATTGCTGGTATTCTTTAACATTTATCTTGAGAAATTGGTAAATTACTGTTTGATAGATCCTGTATTTTATATTTGAGAAATGTGCCTGTACAAGAACATACATATAAAAATTGCTGCCAGAATTTGCTATTTTTAAACAGAAAAATCAATAGCAGATTATCCATGATTAGCTGTTGACATTTAGATTTGTACACTTAGAATGTTAAAAAGCACTGAAAACCATCAATTTAGTTTTAAATTACAATACTATTCTTATTTTCAAATCCAGCACTTTATAATTCTCATCCTCCCTCCAATATAGTGTATTTTAAAAATAATTGAAATAATTATTTTTATTGCTGTTTGGATATCAAGATTGGCTTCAACCTCCAAATTTTCCCACTTATTATTTTTTCCCCTCTAATATTTGCTTCTGAAGACATGCACACATTGAACAATAGTCAGTTGGGGAATAAAATACTGATTTACCAATGACTTTAATAGTAATTTATATATCAATGATAAGTTCCCTGTCAAAATGTCAGCCATCAAATTACAACCAATGGAATTTTATTCTTAAGTGGGGTTTCTTACCTTCCAGTTTAAATAAAAATCGTCCCAAATTTATGTAATATCCATATACATCTACAATCTTCCAATACTGTCCAGCTTTGAAAAACTCCTCAGGTAGAACAACCTAGGAAAACAGTTGAAAGAGGATTGAGAATTTGAATAAGAACTTAGGCTAAGTATCTAGCTAAAAGCAAGGAAATTTCCTTCCCCAGTTCTCATTTCTTAGTATTTTAATTAATATTTTTGGAGGAGTTTATAATTTTATGGAATGATGTCTATTAATCTTTTTCTCTGTTAATTTTTTAGTTTTTTAATGTGTAGAGAATCTTTGCACATCCTGTTTAACTGTGCTTTCTAGATATGTTATGGTTTCAGGTTAATATATCATGCCTCAGAGAATGCTATGAAAACACACATTTCTTTTGAAGATGTAAAGTGTTCTGGAAAGCAATTAAGCAGAATGTTGAAAAATATTCATCGACTTGGATACATTAATTCCACTTTTATGAATTTAAATTCTAGGGGAATGCACAGATAAAGACAGGTTAAGATTTTTACACAAGGATTTTCATCTCAGCCTTATTTATAATACTGAAGAATTGCATTTAAAGTAAATGCCCCCAAATAAGAACATCCTCATAGAGATTTAACTTCCTTTATTTGGAAATTTTTCTTCAATGAGGTCTTGTGTATCAAGAGGTATCCCAAATTCCTCTGTGTGAGACAGTAGAAAAACTTGTTCTGCTACTGAGAGAGAACATAAGAGAGATGATGTAGAACAAGGAGAGAAGGCCTTGCAATAGGAGCAGTCTGATGGAAATTCTGGGATTAGTTTAGAGTAGTCAGGAAGACAGTTTAAAAATGATGGTGACTGTTGTTCTGTGAGGTTATTTGCATGACTGAGATGTTAATCATTTCTTCCATCTTCACCTTTAAAATTTTATCAGCCTGTTATACTCCAGAAAAATAAAGAATAGAAAATAGGTTTAAAAATTCTCTGAGGAAAGAAGGCTAGCTACACCATCACCATCCAACCAAAAAAAAAAAAAAAAAAAAAGAAAAAAGAAAAAGAAAGGAAAAGAAAAAGAAAAAAAATCTGAAGGTATCAGAGTTCAGTTACTCAGCTAAATAGAGTTCTACCAAAACTTTGCCCATTCAATACAGCAGCTGGATAACCGTTTCCCTTCTTATCTGCTCCTAAAATGAATTCCTGATCCCTTCAGAGGAGGTAACATCATCCATCTATCTAACATGACAGCATTCCCATACGAAATTTACAGAGGGCAAAGATTTAAAAAAGAAAAAGAAAAGGAAAGAAAGCCACCTCTGTGTCCGCTATGTGTACTGTTTCTCTTATCAGGAAACACATGTCAAATATGTGAGAGAAGCATTTTAGAGATATAAAGGGGAAAGTGGTACCTTTAACAATATGGTGTCTTGATCATACGCTCTAAACACACTAACTTCATTTTCATTCTTGTGAATACATAGAATAGCTTGGTCACCTGTGCTTTTGCTCATGGCAGTAAACTCTGAAGTCAGGGATTTGGCCATAATTTCCCCCAAAGTGAAAATGAGAGAATGTCTTAGCAAAAGTGAAGAAGCAGGGCTCTGTGTGCCTCCTTTTCTTTTTTCCTGATGATAAACACTGTCTCATTCCCCATCACCTCCATAGCTCCGTTTGCTGAACCTTCCAATACATTTTAGAGTGACAGCCACCAATCTTAGACTCTCCTTGCTGCTTCATTCCTAGGCAAAAGCCTAATTTACATCATCCCTGATTTAGAGCAACTAGAGGATTAATTTTGATTATATGCTGTCACTGGCAAATGAATCTCTAGCGAGGATATATTTTGAATGGCAGCATTTTCAGATTTGGAGAAATTATTTTAAAAAATAGTCACTCATCCAAACTGGTTGGGGTCACTAGAGTCAGGAAGTAGATCCCTACATTTTCTTATAAGGAAAACTTCAGGCTCAGATAATATTTATTGGCTCTGTTTTGGAGATTGAAAAGTATCCCAGCTCAGTTATAATGGTTATAAAAGAGGGCATACCATGGCATGCAGACCACTTTATCTTCAGCTAATGAGTGTCATCCATTAATCAAGAATACTTTTGCTTAAGTTATAAAAGTTACTTTTTAAAGAAAATGATAGAAGAGGTGAGATCATTGCTTTCACTTGTGACAAATATATAAAGGGGGGAAATTAAGCCCACATAGCACAAAGAGGAAGGAATACAATTAAATGCAGTCATCTTTCACTTCAGGAAGTTTAGTTACTATCATAATGTGTACTTTCAAGCACTATATGATGCTCCCTTTCCAATAAAATCATACTACAAATACCTAGATTAGACATCTGTGATTTTTGGAAGTCCTCAAAGGAAAAGAGATGTGTTCATTTGCTTGCTCTCCTGTCCTTGAGAACTACTGATAAGTTTTAAACATTATGAAAACATAAGTTTTCAACAATTAATGTGTATTTCTTCTTAAAACTAAGTATGTGGTAACCATGGCAGTGTAAGAGCTATCTTCCAATCTCATGGGGAAATAGAGGTAGTATGTGCTTCCTGTCGTCTTGAGCTTTTCACCATTCTGATTTGATGAGTGAAATTCTGTATTAAATGTTTATTATATGACGATCATACATAGGAAATGGAAAATACTTCACATAAATATTGTATGGTGAGCTTGAGTTGTATTTTGTTCAAAAGTTTAAAATAGCTTACTTAATTGTTACTGTAGCTCTTATAATCTTTAGCAGTTATTTGGACTCTGACCTAATACTGTCTATTACACACGCACACACACACACATACACAGCCTGAAACACTATGATATTTGCTCTATAAACAAGTTATTTTTTGCTACTGTGTAGTGGTTCACATAATTTCAAGTATTTCATTTTAGTGCTTTAGTGAAAAGAACTATAAATTTAAAGTGTGTGTACATTTTAATTTTTTCTACTATATTTCAGGCCATATCACATTAAGTATTCTAGATATAACTTGCTTGAGGCTGTGCTTTATAGGAAAATCAGTTCTAATTTAAGTTCAAAAATAATGGATAGCATCTTTGTGCTTAAGGAGGATATTTCTCTGAAAAACTCAAGCATGTTTTGCACTCAGCAGTCTCTCCCATTAACACACATAGAAAAATTGATTGTATCTCCAGTTGATGGAGTATTTGACATAGTAGAAAAAATGAAGAAATAGACCAAATGCTTTTCACCTGTGTGTATTAATTTATTTCTACCACTTTATCTTTTTTATTCCACATATCCAAAGTAAGTAAGCGACATAATTTACTGCACTTATTTTACTAATGGAATTTATATGGGCGATAAGTTACTTGGCAAAGCTGATAAAACAAATAGTAACCACAGAGGAAAAAGAAATCAGGTCATAAGCCTGTTAGATCAGTGTACTTTCTAAATGGAAAGGAGAATTTCAGGCAACTCTTAGAATACTAAAAATGCAAAGATACTGAATTTAAATATTGTTCCTCTACATTAATGTTTTGAAAACTTTTTGAAGCACTGAAACTTTATCACTTATAAATATTGGTAATCTCATTTAAAAGAATAGTGCCTCCTTTTTGCTCCCTCCTCTTCCGAGACAGCCTACACTCTGTCTATGGGGTGTGTACCTTTTACTCTAATCTGAGCACCCAGCCCCCACACCTCGTGACCTTTCTCTTGCCTTCTGAAACAGCCTGCACTCTATGCAGTATGTATGTCTCTAAATAAATCTACTTATACTCAGCTGTGGCTTGCTCTTTCCTATGGAAAGCCAAGGACCCACACGTGATGGGACATGTCCCAGTGATTCAAAGGAGACCTGGGACACAGCCCTCCTCACGCCCCACACACGTTTTTCCTTCATCATCTCTCTGGTGCTCAACATAGGGTATATACATAAAGAAATGGAGCTCAAAGGGCATAACCTCGATCAGCCTATTGGGCTTCGGCTCCCCTCTCTTCAGAGGGTGGCAGGGGGTTTCTCCCACACCATGGAATTCAAGTAGCCCTTAGGTGGTGGCTGAAGCTGTCTGCAGGATCTGGCAGAGACCAGCTCTCTATCCATGAAGGAGCCCACCGAGCCCAAGGCTTTTCTCTCCTTGATCTTTTCTCATTCTTTCCTCTATTGCTCTGTCTCTTCGGACTCGAGAAGATCCACCAAGGCAACCACTCTGACATCCAAACTAAGACCATGTGGCAAGTAATTAACAGCCTGACTGGATGTTTAACCATGACTTTTAAGTCTTTTTCTCATTATAGACTGTTAAACTGCTGTTACAAAGGTGCTTCATCTTTAATAAGATTCATCAGAAGTCAGTGGAAACAGTGGGTTACAAACAGTCCCCTATCAGATGATGACTATGCAAGGATTCCAGCCCATACCACCCTTGGACTCAAGAACAAAAGGCTATCCTGCCCCTGGGGCCCCTAGATAGGTATTCTGAGATTTTTACTCCCTAATAGGCAGGGTCAACGCCCCTACTCAGCCTGGAAGTAGTTTCAGAAGACTGACCTTTGCACCTCTGCAACCCCATAAGATTATGGGAATAAAATCTCTGAGGGGAAAGGAGACAGGAAGGAAGGAGACAGGGCATAGCCATTCGAGGAATAACACAATAATTAACACCAGGATGGCAAAAGATTTAAGCCCCAGGAGGAGTTGAGACTCAAGATGGTGGGAGATTTGACTTATAGCAGACCTTGAGCTTCATTAGACGCTCATTGTAATATATTAGGATGGTAAATAACATGCCCAAAGATGCCATGACAGTCCCAAGGCTAGCCACGGAAGGTCAAAGGGTGGGAAATGGCAGACTTCCTGGTAATCCCAGCCCCTTCCTCAGGGTAGTTAGACTGGTCCTTTCACTTATTAGCATATGTAGCTACCAAGCCCATAAAAACTGGCAACATGGCGCCTCGTGTCCACCTTTTTGCTCCCTCCTCTTTGGAGATGGCCCTTTTGCTCCCTCCTCTTTGGAGATGGCCCACACTCTGTCGAGTGTGTACCTACTTTTACGCTAATCTGAGCACCAAACCCCGACACCTCGTGGCCTTCTGAAACAGACTACACTCTATGCAGTATGTCTCTCTCTAAATAAATCTACCTTTACTCAAAAAATAAAATAAATAAAAGAATAGGGAATTATTTGGCAAACATAAGGAAGAATTCCTTTCCCTGTATCATACAGCTTTTTAAATTAGCATTTAATAGTTATGATCTTGAGTAATATTGTCATTTTTACTCTTTATTTTGTTTACATGTATTATTTTTAAATTTGTAATGCCCATTTCAGTGTGCTTTTGCCTGTTTATTTTACTAGTTTGTCCATATATAGTTAAACTCTTCATTAGGCACTGTATAAGCAGTCTTGATTAATAAGTAATAATGACAACTTCAGTATCTAATGAGAGGCCATACAGTTTGAGTCTTCAGCCCCTGCTTTTCCTCCATGTGGGCTACTTTTTATTTTCCTGCAGTTTGGATCTAGCAGCTATCGAGTCTTAGTGTCTATAAGAATTGCTGCAGAACTTGTTCAAATGACACATCACTGAGCACCACTTCCGAAGAGCTGGATTTAGTGTGTTCAAGATAGTGTTTAGGAGTGTTCATTTTTAACAAGCATTCTACTAAATGTGGATGCAGATGGTTTGAGAAACCCTGATTTAGGGATTCATTCCAGTTCTTTGTTTGCAGCAAATAGGAATTAAAGCTAGTTAAATAAGCAGAAAAGAAATTTTTAAGAAGTAGATGGCTTATAAATAAATACTGAATTTATAATATAACTTTTGGATTTGTAAGACTTTGGATATGTTGATTCCACAGAAGCAAAGAGACTCCTAGAGAACAAACTTTAGAAAAGGATAGGAGTCAGGGCAGCATGTGAGATCTAGACACCAGGAATTAATCATCAGTCTCATTGAACTGAATTGATTTCAACCCTTTTCTTCCTATAATTGTATTACTGAGCTAAAAATATCAATCCTGTAAAAGTGTGTCTAGTTAGCCTGGATTGGGTCATGAGCCTCTGTATCATAGAAAGAGTAGGGCCCCTTGATTGACAAACTTATCATGAATGGACACTATAGGAGAAAAGTTAATTCCATAAAAATGTCACTAAAACAAGTGGAATGGATAATGAGTGGCCAAAACCTAGCACATGTCTAATCACTGGTAATATAATCATCCAAATAACTTCCTTTAGAATTTCAGCCCTTCCACTAAAAACTCAATTATGAAGTGAATATGACTTTGTATAATTAGAGTCTACAGAGTCTTCCAGTTCAGCCTAGGGGAGTTAGTCGTCATTTTGCTACTACCCTCAATAGAGTATTAGCAATTTAGGAGGCATATTATAATAGAATCATGAAGCCAATTTCCCAAAAGGATAGTGTATATTTGCTTTTACCCAAGTACAATTTGAAACACCCCTTGTTATGATAAAATGCTTATCAACTGCAGTATAGAAGATAAAGAAACATATACGTGGCTTGAACTAACCTTTTCTTTACAAGAAATTTGACTTTTAGCAAGTGGCTTATGCTTATGTGTATGTCCAAAATTTCAGTGCATTCAAAATTAAAATATTATACAGTATTCTTGTCATTAACCATGTGCCTGGTTAATATGAGAAAATTTGTGACAAAAAAATATTGTGCCCACTGTTGATCCAATTTCCATACACAATTCTTATGCATTTAAAAATAAACTATAGAATGAATGTGCAATTCCTAAACTATAGAAAGAAAATTGATACGCCTCTAAACCTTATGTTTTTGTCTAGTAAATGACATTTTAAGGGGCTTGGATTTTAAGATTGCCAGTGTTTCCTTTTAAGAGAATTACTTTTCTATGGGCCATTTTCCCAGAAATAGCTGCCCAAATGCAGTATAAACTCTGAGTTTTTGAGTGCTTACTCCTTTCTGGGCCCCATTCTGAGTACTTCAGTGTATTCAATTGTATACTCTTCACAACAACCTATAAAGTTAATATTACTATTTTCATAGGTGAGGAAATCAGGATGCAAAGTAGGTTAAGTAACTTGACACAGTGTTAAAGGATAACAGAGTGTTATAGGTTTAATTGTGCGCCCCCCTCAACTCATATGTTTTAAGTCCTAATCCCCAGTACCTCAGAATATGGCCTCTTTTGGAAAAGGGGTCATTACAGATGTAATTCGTTAAGATGAGGTCATACTTGAGTACTGTGGACCCCTAATCCAATATGACTGGTGTCCTAATGAAAAGGGGGAAATTTGGACAGACATGCACACAGGGAGAAGGCTATGTGAAGATTAAAGCAGATATTGGAGTTACACATCTACAAGCCAAGGAACACCACAGATTGCCAACAGACTGCTGTAAGCTAGGACAGAGGCATGAAATAGATTCTCTCTCATGGGTCTCAGAAGGAACCAACCCTGCTGACATCTAGATTTTAGACTGGTTCTAGACCCCAGAAGTGTAAAACAATAAATTTCTGCTATTCTGAGCCAACTAGTTGTCATACTTTGTTATGGCAGTACTAGGAAATAAATATGCAGAGTAAGGATTTGGATTTAGACATTATACCTCCAAAGCTTACATTCTTAACCAACATACTATATTATTTCCATAAAGGTAAGAGAATTGAATAAATACATAATATTTTAGGATGGGAAAGATACCTACTCTAGGAAAATGAATCCAGACTAAGAAGTAATAACATTTCTTTGAATCTTGAAGTACCTCTTTGTAAGGGCATTGAGAAAGGAGCTTAAAGTAGCATTTTTCTTCAAAACTGACAACAGGAGAAATGAAATAGATTAACTGTGACTAAATATGTTTGGAAAAAAGTCATGATCTGGGAATTTAACCACAAACTATAAATTTGTATAAATTAAGTTCGTTTAAATATCAAAAAAGTGTTTATCTAAATATTAAAAGATGTCTCCCTTAAGAAATCTCTAGAGAAAGGTAAAAAATTTTAAGGAAGATCTCTGCTGTATCTATTTGATGCCTGTTTACATATATCAGTCACGTAGAGCATACCTTTTGCATAAACCCAGGACTTGAGTATTAGTGAATTAAACAGGAAAAATGTTGAAAAAAAGTATTCTTATTACACAATGACCACAGTGGAGAATCTGCATGGTATTCTGCCCATAGCTTTTTCTAATTAAAACAAACAGCTGTGGAATTAAGGAACAGTCATGCATAACCTAGGTTTCTTCTGTTCAAAAATAAATGCAGTGGGAAGTAAAATGAGAAAGAAGAGTTAGAAGTCAGTAGGAAGTAATTGGAAGGTATACTGATATCTTGACTCTGAAATATTGAAAACAATAATGAAAAGCTTGAGATGTCAGAGTTGCTCTGAATTGTCAAGAATAGAGAGGTAAAAGCTTGGAAGCCATGATTCTTTTTTTCCTTTTAACTCTGAGAATAGATTAAAGATGAATTAAGGGGGATTTTCTGCTTGGCTTCAATAGAGGTAGGAAATAATCCATAAAGCAGAGCTATCTTACAGTTTGGTCAGTAAGATGCTTGATTCTTGTTTCTTTATTTCTCTCTGCTCAGTGCTGCATAGCCAAATAGGTCTGAGACTGAATCTCAGTCCTATGCCTTATTGAGAATGAGTTTCTTAGAAAATGGATTACTGTCTTAGCTTTGCTTTAATCATCTGTAAAATAGCAGAAATAACACCTGTTCGGTTTCATTTTGAGATTTTATAAATGCAGTATATATAGAAGTGCCTGACCACACAATGACAGTCACAATAAAATAATAGTTAACATTAATCTAGTGATTACTATGCTTTAAGGGCTTTAGTGCATTCTATCATTCATCTGAACTAGGAAGTAGGTCATATTATTCATTCCAGTTCAACATTGAAGGCGCTGAGTCATAGAGTTTTGAGGAATTTGCTCAAGGTCATGAACTAGTAAGTTCAGTGTAGATTTTGGAATCAAGCTTAGATCATTATCTTTGAAATAACACAACTAAATGTGTTACCAATGACCCTTATCAAGGATACAAATAAGAGTAAACTTAGTTCTTTATGAATTTATTGTGTAATAGAGAAAGTCAAGTGGGTGGAGACACCTTCTTGCAGGTGTGGTGATAGAAATATGTACAAGTTACTAATGGCTTTGGAGGAAGATATTGTCATATCCATTTTCAGGTATCAAGAAAGACTTTCTATAGGAAGCAGAGCTTGAACTAAGTGATGAAATATTAGTCACTATCAGGTGACTAGTGATAAGAAATCATTCCAGAGAATGGGAGTAACAAGTGCAATAACATGGTGAAAACATAGGATAGCATTTTGTGAGACACTGGTAAATAGGATTAGGTAGAGACTACAAAGAGGAGAGAGGCAGAAGATGAAGGATGGAAAATAGACAGGGGTCAAGCCATGAAGAGCTTTGAATGCTGTGCTAAGTGGTGTGCTTTTTTTTTATCATTAAAGACCAGAGATTCTTAACCCTGGCTGTACATCAAAATCATATTGGGGCCTTTTGAAAAAATACCCATACTTAAGTTCAACCCACATCTACCTTTATAAACATACTTTTTTTCTGATGAATTTTGAACATCTTTCTTCCTACTCTTGTTAACTCTATTAAGTGTGTAGTAGGCCCTCAATAAATGTTGGTTGGTTGATCTTAGTAGTTAGCTTCTATTAGCTAATACAGCCACTTCAGAATTATTTTTAGTTATTTTGGTGAGTTATGTAATAGGATTTTTTTTATTATTATTAAAAAGTTACATTTTATAAGGTACTCTGGAATTTAAAAAAAACCATGAAGTTAATGATAACCCAGAAAATCACTGTGATAGTCTGACATATTTATTGATGATTTACTAATAAACAGTCAAAGGGTGCATTTTTTGGTGAGCAGCACATTGCCATATCCCTCCCCTGTTTGTGCTGTCTTGGTGCAGGCACACTGACTGCATTTTTCCCCATGATCTTGAAACTGACAGTCTAGTAATTTCCCTATTTCAGCTTCTAATATAGAATATTACCCGTGGGTTTTGTGTGTGTGTGTGTGTGTGTGTGTGTGTGTGTATGTATGTGTGTGTGTATGATAATGCTACATGCGGATTTAAAGATTTTTGTTAGTGCTTCAAAGGCAGAAAAGAAGGAAACTAATCTAAAAAAATCTACCTGGGTAGAAAAAGAAAAAGACATTTGATTTCACATATAAAGAGCTTATAAATCACCTCTCGGTTCTAACAATAAGCAAAAACCTGAAAAGACTGAAAAATCAGCTCTTCTTGGGTCCATAAGATAGGGGAGGACATGGAGCAAAGTGCTTGCTTCCAAGATTAGAGAGACAGACAGGCAAATATAAGGAGTTACTGCTTACCAGAGTAGAGACTCTTAAGCAGAAACAGCCACAGGAACCAGTGCCTGGTGCATCATGTCCAGCTATCAAGAAAAAAAATTATAAGGTGTACCAAAAGGCAAAATCCACAATTTTAAGAGACATATCAAACATCAGAACCAGATATGGCAGGGACGCTCAAATTATCAGATTGGGGATTTAAAACAGCTATGATTACTATGCTAAGGTCTCTAATGGATTAATTAGACAGCAAGCAAGAGCAGATGGGCAGTGTAAGCAGAGAGATGGAAATCTTGATAATGAAAAGAAATGCATATGTATGTATGTGTGTATGCTTATGTATAATTGTAATGAATGACAGCAATGATACATGAGGTGGGAAGGAAGTAGGATTATTTTGTTATTATAAGGTACAGTACCTACAAAGCTGTATAGCATTATTTGCAAGTAGACTCGCATTAGTAGTAAATGTATATTGCAAACTCAAGAGCAACCACTAAAAAAGGTGAAAAAAGAAGTATAACTGATATACTGGTAAGACAGCGAAAATGGAATGATATAAAAGCTAGTTAAAACCACAAAAGGCAGAAAAAGAAAAAAAGACAAAAAGAAAAAAATGAGAACAAAGAACAAGGGCAACAAGTAGAAGACAGTAATGAATGTTATACCAGCTATACCATTAATCACACTAAATGTCAGTGATCTAAATGGATGAAATAAAATGCAGAGATTGTTAGAGTCAATCAAAAAAATAAGGCCCAGTAATATGTTCTCTAAAAGAAACCCACTTTAAATATAAAGAAACATATGGATTAAATGTAAATAGATGGAGAAAAACATACCATCCTAACAGGAATCAAGAAAACACATGAGTAGCTATATTAATTTCAGACAACAGGCTTCACAGCAAGACAAGTTATTAAGGATAAAGAAGGACATTACAAAATGATGAAAGGGTCAGTTTTCCAAGAAACATAGCAGTCCCCCATGTGTATGTGTCTAACAACAGAACATCAAACTTGTTTAGGCAGAGACTGATAGAACTGCCAGGAGTTCCATAGAATAGTTGATACACTACTATATTTGGAGACTTCAACCCCTCTATCAGAAACAGACATATCCAACAGGCAGAAAATCAATAAGCACATAGTTGAACTCAATAAAACTATCAATCAACTGGATATAATTTTCATCTATAGGCTACTTCATCCAAGAATAGCATCCGGTACACATTCTTCTCAAGCTCATATGGAACATTCACCAAGATATACATGACTGTTGAGCTTAAAAAAAAAAAACTTACCAAATTTAAAGGATAAAAATAATCCAAGGTCAGCTAAGGACACAATGCAAATCAGTAGTAGAAAGATAACTGGAAAATACCAAAATACATGGATATAACCAACACACTAACTACCAAGACTGAATCATGAAGAAATAGAAACTCTAAACTGACCAGTCCTACTAAGAAGAATAAATCAGTAATCAACATAACACCACTCCATCCCACAGAAAAGTCCAGGGCCAGATGGCTTCACTTAATGAATTCTACCAAACATTTGAAGAATGATAGTACTAATCCTTCTCAAATTCTTCTGAAAAATAAGAGGAGAGAACACTTCCTAATTCTTTTTATGAGGCCAGCATTACCCTGATACCAAAATTAGACTAGGACACTACAAGAAAAGAAAATTACAGGCCAATATCTTTGATGAACATAGATGCAAAAATCCTCAACAAAATATTAGCAAACCAAATTCAGCAGTGTGTTCAAAGGATCGTACACCATGATCAAGTGGTCATTACTCCATGGTTCAACATTTGGAAATCAATCAATGTGATACATCAGATTAACAGATGAAAGATAAAATCATATTATTTCAATAGATGCAGAAAAAGCTTTTGACAGAACTCAACCATTCATGATGAAAAGACTGGGGGTAGAGGGAATGTACCTCAGCATAGTAAAGACCATGTTAACAAGCTCATAGCTAACATCATACTCAATGGAGAGAGGCTGAAAGCCTTTCCTCTGAGATCAGAAACAAGACAAGGATGCCCACTCTTGCCGCTTTTACTCAACATAGTACTGAAAGTCTAGGCCAGAGCAATTAGCAAGAAAAAGAAAGCAAAGACATCTAAATCAGAATGGGAGAAGTAAAATTATCTTTATTTACAGATAACATGATATTATATATAGGAAACCCTAAAGATCACCAAAAAACTACTAGAACTAATTAATTAATTCAGTAAAGTTGCAGGATACAAAATCAATATATAAAAACCAGCTTTATTTCTATGAAATAACATCAAACCATCAGAAGCAGAAATTAAGAAAACAATCTAATTTACAATTGCATCAAAAAGAATAAAATACCTAAGAATAAATGTAACCAAGGAGGTTAAAGATCTGTACACTGAACACTGTAAGACACTGATGTATGAAATTGAAGAATATACAAATAAATGGAGGGATATTCCATGCTTATGGATTTGAAAAATTAATATTGTTAAAATGTCCATACTGCCCAAAGCAATCTGCAGGTTCTGTGTAATCCCTATGAAAATTCCAATGACATTTTTCACAGAAATAGAAAAAAAATCCTAAAATTTCTGTGAAACCACAAAATACCCTGAATAGCCGAAGCAATCTTGAGAAAAAAGACATGTCCAGAGGCATCACACTTCTTGATTTCAAATTATATTAAAATAAGACCTGTAATAAAACTTCTAGAAGATAACATAAGGGAAGAGAACCCTGACGTCAGTATTGGCAGTAGTTTGTTTTTGATTTGACACCAAAAGCAAAGGCAACAAAGGCACAAACAAACAAGTAAGACTACATAAAACTAAAAATCTGCACAGCAAAGGAAACCATCAACCAGATGGAAAGGCAACCTATGGGATGGGAGAAAATATTTGTAAATATATCTACTATGGGTTAATATCAAAAATAGAAAACTCACATAATAGCAAAAAAAACCCCAACAAAACACAAAAACTAACTGAAAAACAAGCAGAAGAACTGAATAGACATTTTCTGAATAAGATGTGAAAATGACCAATAATGAAGAGATACTCTATATCACTAATTATCAAGGTATTGTAAATCAAAAACGCAATGAACTGTCAGATCATACTCGTTAGAATGGCTATCATCAAAAAGATGAGATAACAAATGTTGACAAGGATGTGGGTAAAAGGGGACTCTTATACACTGTTGGTAGGAATGCACATTGGGGCAGCCATAGCCACCAATCACATTCTGGAGATTCCTCAAAAAACTGAAAATAAAACTTGTATGATCCATCATTCTCACTTCTTTCCTTTCATCCTGAAAGAAATGCTCCCTGTTCGTTTCAGCATTATATCAATAGCAAGATATGGAAACAATGTTAGTGTCCATCACTGATGAATAGATAAAGAAGATGTGGTATATATACATAATGGAATATTATTTAGCCACGAGAAAGAAGGAAATCCTGCCACTTATGACAACATGGATGGATCTTGTGGGCGTGATGTTAAGTGAAATAAACCAGACAGAGAAAGACAAATACTTCATGATATCACATATATGTGGAATCTAAATAAAAGCCAAACTTGAACAGAGTGAAGAAAAGTGGTTGCTGGAGGTGGAAAGGTGGAGGAAATATAAACATTTAGCTATAACATGAATCATGCCTAAGTTTCTGATGTATAACATAGTGACTGTATTAGATGACAGTGAATTGTGTAATTGAAGTTTGCTAAGAGAGTAGAACTTAGATACCATCACAAAAATATGTGAGGTTGTACATGTACATCAAATCATTATGGCGTACATTTTAAATTACTTATAGTTTTGTCCAGTACACCCCAATAAAGCTGAGGGGAAAATAAAACTAAAGAGAAAAAAAAGGAAAGATACTGTAGGCAATGTAATCGACCTGTGTCATAATTGTGTGTTGCCCTTTACATAGACCTAATGACAAACTACTTTCATTCAGGTACTGTAAATTTTGGTATCTCTGTCTCTATATCCCCAAATATGTGCTGTATTTATATATTATTTCTAAGATGTGTTTTATTGTCTTATATAAAAATACTAAGTGGGAAAAAGTTTGTATTTTTATTACAAAGTTTTTCTTAGTGAAAGTCTTTTTACTTAGTTTTCAATTTTAATATTGAAATGTAATAAAATTTTAATCTATTTACTTCAAAGTGATAATTTTTTAAAATATTGGACTTTTTTGATTAGTTATGGGAAGATGGCAATAACTGATGTTTTGATTTCTTAATGTAATTCTGTGCTTTACATTTGTATTGATTTATTTGGACACTTGGGTGTATAAAATAGGAAATCAGAGGTAAATGGAAAGCCAGAGATTGCTAGCAAAATTCTGTAATTTTGATTTGAGTGAAATGAGATTTAAAATATTAAATGAATTGTCCACAGTCACTTACCAGTTTTTGGCAAAATGAATACTAGAAACTCTAAAACACACTGAAACTTCCATACAAGATATAAAGTGGGTTTTCATTGATTTTTCCTAACAAGTGTGATTTTCCTATCAATTGGCATAAATATCACTTTTTTTTTATATGTAGGTGTATTCTTTTTTTTGTATGTAGGTGAATTCTTTTTTTTTAAACATGTTTTATTGAGTTATATTCATTTTACAATGTTGTGTCAAATTCCAGTGTAGAGCACAATTTTTCAGTTATACATGAACGTACATTTATTCATTGTCACATTTTTTGCACTGTGAGCTACCACAAGATCTTGTATTTATTTCCCTGTGCTATACAGTATAATCTTGTTTATCTATTCTGCATATGCTTGTCAGTATCTACAAATTTTGAACTCCCGGTCTGTCCCTTCCCACCCCTAGCCCCTTGGCAATCACAAGTTTGTATTCTATGAGTCTGTTTCTGTTTTATATGTGTGTATGTATGTATGTATGTATGTATGTATGTATGTATGTATGTATTTATATTCCACATATGAGCAATCTTATATGGTGTTTTTCTTTCTCTTCTGGCTTACTTCACTTAGAATGGAACATCCATGTTGCTGCAAATGGCATTATGTTGTCGGTTTTTATGGCTGAATAGTATTCCATTGTATAAATGTACTACTTCTTCTTTATCCAGTCATCTGTTGATGGACATTTAGGCTGTTTCCATGTCTTGGCTATTATAAATCGTGCTGCTATGAACATTGTAGTTTTGATTTGCATTTCTCTGATAATTAGTGATACTGAGCATTTTTTCATGTACCTATTTATCCTTTGTATTTCTTCCTTGGAGAATTGCTTGTTTAGGTCTTCTGTCCATTTTTAGATTGGATTGTTTGTTTTTTTCTTATTAAGTCATATGAGCTGCTTATATATTCTGGAGATCAAGCCTTTGTCGGTTTCATCATTTGCAAAAGTTTTCTCCCATTCCATAGGTTGTTGTTTTGTTTTACTTATGGTTTCCTTTGCTTTGCAGAAGCTTGTAAGTTTAATTACGTCCCATTTGTTTATTCTTGCTTTTATTTCTATTGCTTGGGTAGACTGTCCTAGGAGAGCATTTTTGAGATGTATGTGAGAGAATGTTTTGCTTGTATTTTCTTCTAGGAGTTTTTTTGTATCTTGTTTTACATTTAAGTCTTTGAACATCACTTCTAAATGGAGGTACACAACTTTGGCAATGAAAATTTTATAAAAATATTGCTAAGAATTTCACAGTATTAAGGGGAAATAAGTGTCAATGATGATTATTTCTCACACTGCTTACATAAAATCTATCTCATGTTCTATACAGTGGAGCTAAATTCTATATGAAGAAACTCAAATATAATCTGGAGACTATATAATTAGAAACATTGTACTATGTAAATGATGCATTACCTGAAAGTTGCTTTAATCTCTGACTTTTTCCATAAACAGCATAGTCATATATCATCTCTCTCATTTTCTCAAAATCCAAAATCACTTTTATTCAGTCATGTTTCTGGTGCATAAATAGCTATCGGGAAAAAACATTTAGGTAATTAATTTTTAACCTAAATTTTGCTAATTTTTTGGAAGTCATTGGAAAATGATATGAAGAAGCTTAAGAAAGTTAAGAACACTTTTCCCAGGCACCACACAGACTAACTAGTTGGGCTGACTGACATTGGTCTTTTTGTGGCCTTGGGAAAATACTTCACTCTCATTGAGCCACAGTTTTCTTCTTGGTGAAGTTTTGATAACAGGTTTATTGCAATATAATATTGTTTGTCAAAATGTTCTGAAAATTGTGGCGTGCTTATGCAGCTGCATTATTTCATTACTATTTCTCAGCAATGCTGGAACACCTTTAAACATTGGTATCAAGTCGTTTAATCATTCATTCTAGATTTACTGAACAAACTTTAATTGAATTCCGGAGGCTGTGATTCATGTTGGCATTAAAAAGATGAACCATTCTGCCTCCCTCTCAAGTCAAGAAGGAGAAAAAAGAATGGAAGAGGGAGGTGAGAGAAAAGAAGGGCAGGTGAGCCAGTTGTGTCCAGGTATCACTGTGATTGTGCCTGTGCACACATAAGCCTAGCTGCAGCATATCACAGTGTGCCTCGGTCTGCCAAGTTAAATAGTCTGATCCTATGTTATCTAACTGAAATAGAGAAAAAAGGGAAAGAAGTCTACTATTTTGTGTAGAATATACACACTTAATTTCCTCACAGTCCTGGGAGGTCGGTACTACTATTATGCCCTTTTTTATGAATGAGGAAGCTGAGGTACAGAGAGGTTAAGTAGTTTACCTAGGACCACTCATAAGAAGGCAATGGGTGAGGCATCTAGATTGGACAGTATAAGGTGAGGCAAAGAGGAGTTCCTTGAGACGAAGATTAGGAGATGGTGGTGACTTTCCATATCAGCTATTATACAGCATATAGAGGTGTGCCCAGCATCCTCAAGTTGTATTTCTGAAACAGATGGAAATAACCTCTAATTAAGAAGCTCAGAATTCTTGAGCACAGAATGGAGAAATAATCAACTAGTAATTATATTTCAATGTGGTAAATATCCTCTAGTAGGAATATGCACAGGAGTTATTGGAGGATGAGAAAGGTTGGTGTGACTTACTCATAAAGGAATCAACAAAGGCTTTTCACAGTTGATAATGCTTGTGCAGTCTTTTTTTTTCATGTGAGGTAAAATATGAATAGCATAAAACTTACTATATTAGCCATTTTAAGTGTATCATCCAGTGGTATTTAGTGCATTCGTACTGTAGTGCAACTATCACCATCATTTATTTCTAGAACTTTTCATCTTGCAGAACTGAAACGCTTTACCCATAAAAAATAATTTCCCATAATCCCTTCCCAGCAACCCCTGAAAGCCACTGTTATACTATCTTTCTTTTATCAAATCTCTCCTTTCCCTCCATGCCCCAGCCTTAGGTAACCACTTTTTTACTCTTTTGTTACTATGAATTCAGTTTTTTTCCTGATATATATAAGTGAGATCATACACTATTTGCCTCTCTCTGTAAGATTTGTTTCACTTAGCATAATGACCTCCAAGTTTATCCATGTTGTTGTAAACTGCAGGATTTCCTTCTTTTTAAAGGCTGAATAATATTCCATTGTGTATGTATATATCAGTATCTTTATCCATTTATCCATCAACTGGATAAGGCTATTTCCATATCTTGGCCATTGTGTATAATGCTGCAGTGTAAAAGGGAAGGTTGATATCTCTTAGAGATAGTGGTTTATTTCCTTGGGATGTGTACCCAGA